AGGACAGGTTCTTACCTGGCATAAACTGTGAAAGCAGGAAAGAAAAATACTTCAAATATCACCTCTTACTGCCCGAAGCCTGTTAAACTGATTGCTTTGCATGCTTTAGTTACAGAACACAAAGGAAGGAAAATGAAAAGGAAGGTACCTTTTGGCAATGTGACCTACTGAATTCTATGGAAAAGAACTATAAAACTTTAGAAAATAAAATGGTATGAAGCACCAAAATGTGCACAGTTTAGGATAATTTCTTCAGAAATGTAAAGATCTTGCCACATAGATGAAGAACATAGGACTGGCTTGAGCCTCATGGGCCATCAAGTGAAGTCCCCAACATTTGTCAAGAATCTCTGAAATCACCGTTTCAAACCTTTGCATGCAACCATTTTGTACAATACCTGAGACATCACAAATGAGACCCCATTTAAGCAGGAGAGGTGGACACTCCAAATGCCCTGCTAATGCAGCAACAACAGGAAAGGATACCAACAAATTCACAGAAGATCCCAGGAAAGGTTCATACCCCATGCTACAGAGTAAGGCAAAAACTCCCACAGTCATTACAAGTCTAAAGTAGGGTGCAAATTCCTTCCTGATCACAGATTTGACAGTTATGACCATCAGTGGAAGAACAAGTTCCCCTACCCAAAAACTTTTGCGTTGTGGACAGTTCACTAAAAATTAGAGGTGCACTGATTGGCCCCATATCGGATCGGCACCAATATAAAGAAAATTGACAGTATTGGAAATAATCTTTTTTTTGGCTGATGTGGCTGATAATGTTGCCACTAAATGTGCCGTGCATGCATGCAGCACAGAACAGGTGGCCAGGAGAGCAGCCAGGTTCTCCTGGTAAGCCTGTTGTGGGGGAAGGGGTGTAGGGAGGGCAGAGCAAGGCCCCTGCGGTGAGGGAGGGAGCGTGGCTGGGGTTGGAGGGGGGTCAGAAGTAGGTGCTGCACAGCCAGTGTGGGGCATGGGAAGAAGCCGCAACCGGCTTGTTCGGGGTGTGTAGTGACTCCCGCCACTGCATGTTGCACGGGAGGGCACAGGGGGCATGTGCCTCTGGATCTGCATGCAGAACAAGGACGGGCTGCCGCTGTGGACTGGGGCTGGGAGTAGCACTGGGCTTTTCCCAGCTGGGGGATTGGGCTGGGGCTGCACTTGGGGTGGGCGGCAGTGACAGTGGGAACAGGGCCTTGGCAAAATTTTCGGTAGCTGCAGCCCCCACTCCCCTCCCCAGCGCCACCACCACCCGCCCTGAGCCCAGCCCAGCCCAGCCCTCCACCAGGAAGAGCTTGGCACTGCCCTGGCCCCAGCCTGCAGTGGTAGCCTGCGCTTGCCCCACACACCAATCTGGGGGCAGTTGCCCCCCCATACCTTCCCAGGGTGTGCGTAGCAGCAGGAGCCACCACCCCCTCCCCGCACCACCCGGAGAAGCTGCGGCTCCATCCTATGCCCTTCTCCGTCTCGGCTGGGCAGCAGTTGCCCCTGTCTCAGCCCGACTCCCTCCTTCACCACAGGGGCCTCAATCTGCACCCCCTGTGCCCCTTCCCTCCCCCCTCGCCCTTTCCCCTACAACAGACTTACCAGCTGGATGCTGCTCTCCAAGCTGCCCGTCTCCATATCAGCAGTCGGGCCTGTGGCAGAAGGCCACCTCTGTTTCTCCCCAAAAACTCTGCTCTGTGACAGTTTGGTTAGGATGGGCCCCGCAGAGGATACATACCTTACGCTATCTCTTTAGGTAACCTGAACTGGATACATTCCTGAGGGGGAGTGGGGGGGAACCTGCTCCCTCTGCCTCTGTGACTGGTATCACATATCTGGGTGAGGGGCTTGCTCCCTGGGAAGCTAGGAACTGTCAGTCTGCCCAGCAACTAGTGATGCATTTCAAATTGGTTGGCTGACAGCCAACAGGTGCTGGCTTCCATTGGACCAGGTAAATGAGGTCACAAGGGCTATATAAGATAAGGACTGCCCAGGAGGAGGGGGCAGCAGCCATGAGGAAGACTGAGAGGGAGAAGAGCTGAACCATCTGAAACTTGCGCTCTCTCTCAAAATTTATGGTCAGGGAACTGCCTGCCTTCAGAGGGAATCTCTACCTGCCTCTGGATGATACTTGTGAGTAATCTACCTGAGATCTAACTAGATATTTAGCTTGCAGTAATTCAGATGCGTGATCAAAGGCTACCCAGCCATGGGAGTTTGCTCTGTGGGATTTCTCTGATATTGCTCTACCCTGTACCCTATTCCAACCCTATCCCTTGTAACCAGTAAAGTTCTCCTTTGTACCTAGTGTGGGAGACTTATTGGGAGTGGGTCTAGATTATGCCGTGGGGTCCCCTTGGTTCGGCTGACTAAGGGAGACCACTACTTATGCTTTTGACTGAGGGAAGCATCCCGTGTTCTTGAAGTGAATCAAGTACCCTTGATGGCTACTAGGCCTGTGTTTCCCAGGGTGCTCAGAGCTAGAATCAAGCCCAGCCCTGGGTGGTGGCAGTGGAACCCCCAGGCTAGTGGGTGTGCTCCAGGAAGGGGGGTGGCTAGATGTGAGGCACCCCCAGGGAGGTACTCAGAGCCTGGAAGGTGGTCGGGCACAGTGAGGTGGGTAGCTCAACGCAGGAGCGCCCCTACTGGCCCGCCACAGGGTCAGCATCAGCCAATATGGTTTGTTAAAAATTGGCCATCAGTATCGGCCCAAAAAATCTCCGTTAGTGCATTCCTACTAAAAACATCAACTTAATGCTCAGCAGCTGTCAAAGAAACAAATGAAATGTTAGGAATCATGAAGAAGGGAATTGTCAACAAAACAAAAAGTATCTTTTTCCCCCTTTATAAATCCATGGTGTGTCCAAACCTTGGATATTGTGTCCAGTTTTGGCCCTACACCTCAAAAAGGATATAGAAGAACTAGAAGAGGTGCAGAGAGAGGCAACAAGAATGATTAGTGGTATGGAGGGGCTTTCATGTAAGGAGAGACTGAAGAGGCAAGGCCTATTCAGTTTAGAAAAGAGATGCTTGAGTGGGGAACATAAAAAGAGAGTACATGGGCATTTTTTGTGTGCTATCTTGTCTCTCTCAATACAAGAACTATGCAGGGGTCATAAATTCGGACCCACTGGTAAGTTAATCGCGGAAGACAGTCATCATTGCCACAAGATGTCATGAATGCTGACAGTTTAACCAGATTCAAAAAGGGATTGGACAAATTCTTGGTTGCATCAGTAGCTATTGAGCATGGGAATTAGAAGTACAGCCTCTGAATCAGAACTTTCTGAACCTTAAATGCTGGAGGCTGCAAATGGGAAAAGAACAGTGGAACACGCCCCCCCCTCCTGCTCAATACCCTGTTCACTCTCTCTTTCAGCAGCCATTCTGCCATTGTGTGACACAGGAAATTGGGCAAGATGGACCTGTGGTCTGACCCAGTAAATGGCAGTTCTTACATTCTTATGTTCTAGTCCTCTAAGGACCATATGAAGGATTAGTGCTTCCACAGTCTTAGCTGTGGCCAATATCCAAATGCTTCAGAAACAGGTTAAAAAAAACAAACCCCAGAAAACAGTTGTATACATGAGGAGAAAAAAAAATCCTTTCTAGCAACAGATGATCAGCAAAAGCTCTGGAGCATGGGATTACCAGATATTTAAAACTGCTTTGAATCTAATTGCACAAAAGGTACATCTAGTTTAAATAATAGAGATATTTCATTTGGAATGTCATTGGGATTCTGGAAATCCAAGATTTCCAATGATGCAGCTTTCAAGTGTGTCCTTATCCATTGTGATGTGATGAACCTTGCTTGTTTGTGGTCCTTCAGGTGAGTGTTCTTTATCTTTGGCACTGGTCCAGATCTCAGGCCTCACATCTGTGTAACTTTCAGTTCCTGTTACCACCTCCTCTCCTCCTACAGTTTCCATGAGATGTGTAGGAGTTTTTTCATGACTCACTCTTAAACACAGATCATCTTAGTAGTTAATGGAGAAATTTAAGAAAATTAGCAGCCTGTCTCCTGCTGCCCTCACTGTTGCTGTTGACATAAGCAGCCTCAGTGGAACGGTGCAGAAAGGAGTGGCTTACCATTGGGTAACAAATGTTAAATACGTTACGGTGGGCTAAAATTTATGAGGACAGTCACTTCTGACAAATTAGCAAATACTGATTCTGATTGTGCCTATCTTACTTTAACTTGTATAGGAACATTTTAATTCTAGACACAATAGTTATATTAACTGGTTTGTGTAAACTTTATAGCATAACATCTGAATAAACATTTAAAGTTAAGCTCTTATCTGAAGACACATTGCCCTAATCTGACAGTTTTCTATATATGCAGGTAACTTTTGTTCACTTATATGAGAATGAGTGAACAAATGTTACAGAATAAGGCCATTAAGTGTTTGGGTGGCTTAAGATAATTATTGGCTTGAATAAAATGATGTCATTTTACAAAATGTGCAGTTTATTAAATCTGATAACCAAACTGGGGTTTAGATTTTCAAAATAAAGGAAGAGATTAATTTTTAATGGAATTTGGATATGAATTATTGAATCGAGGATACTCTGCTGGCATGAAAATAATGTATTTCTTTTCTTCTGTTGGGTATTGTGAAGCATGTCTTTTCAATTGCTAGAACTACAAAGATTTAATTGTAGTTTTAAAATTCACTTTCATAAATGTGGCTAGTTCTATTTTAGCTTTTTATGTAAAACGGTTTATATAAAATGGTATTTTAAAATTTTTTTTTTCAGGTCTGTAAACAACCAGTATTGCAGAAAAGTCATAGGTGGGATGGTTTGGAACCCATCAATGAGGAGATCTTTATCGGTTGAACATTTAGAGACCAAAAGCCTTCCTTCTCGGTCTCCTCCTGTTACCCCCAATTGGTAAACAAACTTTTGGTCTTCCTCCTTCTTCTTTCCCTTAGTGCTGGGTCTAATTGTGTACTCATGAAACAGGATAATAAATACTTTTATTCTATCATGTGCATTTTTTAATAAATAGTTTGTTTGTTTTATGACTCTCATTTTAAAAGTGGTAATCTTTTAGGAAAATTGATTCTTTTAGCATTTCAGGGAGGAATCACAATCAGCTAATTTCTTTGTCAAGAAAAATTCCTAATTCCAGGTTTCAGTTTACTGTGATGTACCTTGCAGAGGATGTGGTTAATGCCCAGGCTAAAATTTTCAGAAACAGAGACAGACAGACTGACCTTTGTTTTAATGTATGTGTTTTTAAGCGGGACTTATTGGCCTGTAATTAAGATCTCAAGGTATAGAATGTGATAGATAGTATTAGTCTACTTTGGTAGAGCTGTACAGTAGGTTCCTGCTTTAAGCAACTTATGTTCATGTGTTTTCTTTAAGGCGGAGTCCTAGGCTACGTCATGAGATTCGTAAACCGCGACATTCATCTGTAGATAACCTTACGAATGAGATTACATACATTACAGAAACTGAGGATGTTTTTTATACATATAAAGTCTCTCCAACCTCAAAGAACAGTGATTCAGAGGTCTCCCAGAATCGCAGTCCATGGAGAAGGTAAGGATCTCCCAAATGATAAATCAGTTGCAGTATATCAGTTTTCTTTTACATTGATTTTAAGAGAGACCCTTGCTGTCAGAAGCACGCACAAAATTGAATTTAGGTAATGCTGTATTTGCCTAATCCTTTTGACTAAATTTAAGTGCTAAAATATGAACACCATAATACCTCATACACAAGAAAATAGGCTTTGTTTTTCAAACTATAGTTAAATAAGAAAGTTTACAAAAAATCTTGTAGGATTAGAGAAGGTGTCATGCTGGATATACTTTCCTGTTCAGTGCTGCTCTTTCCAGGTCACTCTTTACAGGCAA